ATTGCATATGGAGATTCAGAAATACAGAGTAGGTAAGAATGTGTTCTTGAATTCACATTATGTTGCTGGGATAAAATCTGACTTGTGGTACTTAGTAAATTGTATGACATCAGGCAAGTTACATCTCTGTCCTCAATTTATTTGTGAAATGACAATGAAAATAATAATCTCCTAAGTTATTGAAAAATTAAGTAAGATTAAAGCTTTGCACACAAACCTCTCAAATTAAATGTCTGCCATTTAGTTAGTGGTTAAAGCACATTAGCTATTATTACTTACAGACATGGTAGGTGTGAGGAAATGGTAAAAGCTACTTACCACCAGTGCTTTTTGTCAGGTTGACTCATTCATCTAAGACCTAACCTTACTTTTTTAATACGTTGAAATGTTCTAAGTGAATTTCCCAGAGGTTGTTGTTTGACTTGACGTACAAGCTGGATTCTGAGATGTCTTGGTGGTGCTGGTGCTGGTGCTGGTGCCGGTGATGATGTGGGTGGATAGATGTTTACTGTTGGGTTGTTTTGTGGTGGGGGTATCCCTTCAACCTAGATATTCAAAAATGTATAATATGACCACCCTCCCATTAATAAGACCTAGTCTTTCAAAAGAACAGGTGAAACTAATAAATGACCTCTTTTAGCCACCCTGCAGCTACAGCTCAAGACCACTTCTGCCTACTACACCTACCTCCTCCTCTTCTTCAAGAGCCTGATCTACTCCACCATCATCACCTTCTATCTGTTTGGGAGACCAGCACTCTATGGCAATGGGAAGAGTTCCTAACACATGGTGGCACCAAGGGTCCACTTGTCTCCATTGGCTATTGTCCCTAAAAACGTCTGCTGAGAATCTAGTTGGGGCTTGCTTTCTTGGTTTGGGTTATTTCAGTTCAAATGTGTCTTCTTCCCTTGTGTCATTATTGCAGAACAGGTTTCCAAACCACTGTTTCCAAACAGAAACTTTCACTCTGCCAAAAGAACAAATTCTGCCATGACCCAGGGGTGGGGCTAGGGGGCCATCCATAGGGGCTTCAGCACCTCTCTCCTTAATGTCCGCCAGCTCCTCAGGCACCTAGTCCCCATGCCTCTGAGTACAGCCCACATGCAACTTCTAGTCATGTCCCCTGGGGCTCCTTCCCCAGATAACTGCCTGGAAGCCTTTTATTCTGCACATCCAGAAGCTGCAATCTTTGCTGCCTGAATTTTGTACTGTTTTACAAAATAGGCATAATAAAAACAATTAAATGTCTACTTTGGCCTCTGTGTACTTTCATTTGGTGCAATCTGAGAGTCCAAGGTAAGGGACAGCATGACAACTGAGCCTTCCAATTCAGCAGTGATTGTAATAATGGTCAATTCCACATTTCTAATTCTTACCCTGAGATATTCCTTATGATGTCTTCTTTGGGGCACTGGCCCCAGGGGACCACAGCCAGTGAAGATGCCCAGGTTATTTCTCCTTCAAAGATCAGCAGATTCAGATCATTTGGTTTAAGACGTTCTGTGGTGACAGTATAACATGTCGCATGACTGGTGGGTGTGCTCAGTGTGTCACTGGCACCATGTTTCCTGATCTCACAAGAACACTGTAAGAGCCCCACTAACACTGGAAAGGTACGGTGGGGGAGGGCTTAAGTGCTTGGACTCTGAATGCCAAGTGCCTGGATTGAAATCTTGGGTCTATAGCTATTTGAACTCTCTGTGCCATAATTTTCTCATCTGTAATAAGGAGATACAGTGTGTCCTGTTTCCTGGAGTGATGTGGATGAGAGGAGTTAATTTTGGGGGCACATGTTGAGTCCTCAGCAGCATTAGCAACTACTGTTGGCAGCTCTACTTTAGAAATAATAGCTGACACTCCTGCACACATGCATGTGTGCACGCATACACACACCCACACACAAAAGGCATGCACTAAAATTTATGTGCAGTACCATACTACCATTTACAAAGGTCCCAAATTAATTGCCCAGTAAGAAACTAAAACAAACTAAATGATGTCATATGAAGTAGTATGCATCTACAAAAAATGTAGATTGTCAAAGAAATGAAAAATTAATCAGAAAATGTTGTTGAAGAACTATGCATGTCAGGACCCTAAAATTCTTAGAGTACACCTTCACATGGTTCCAAAATGAAAACACTGTAAAAACAGAATTGGAAATCTTCCTTCAACCACTGTCTCTACCTCCCCACCTACTTACAGGTCACACTTTTGTTTCTTGTGCATCCTTCCAGTTTTAATGTATCCAATATGGATGTACATATAAAAAATAAGTGCAGAAACCGGATTTTCTTCCAACACAAATGTAGTATACAACATACATTATTCCGCACTTCTCATTTATACATCCTTAAGGTTTTTTTATGTCAGTATACAGGGTGGCTGCAAAGTATTTCACTGGTGACTCTATACTTTATAAGATCAGTTTCTTGTGATAGACCGTTGGATTATTTCCAATCTTTTACTATTATAAAATACACTGAAATTATAATATTGCTTTATGTCACTATGGACATGTGGACTGGCCATTCTGATAGGTACTGCCAACTTACCCAATAGAGAGAGAGTACCACTGTGCATTTCTACCACATGTAGGTGAATGTCAGGACAATGCTGTCAAACATCAGGATTTTGCTAATCTTACAAGTGAAACAGTATTCCACCAAGGTTTGAGTTTGTTTTTCACTGATGAGGATAACCATCTTTTCATATATTGAGTCTGTTTATATTTTTTTGTGTGCAGTATTTGTTCAGTCCTTTGAACATGGTTTCTATTGAGTAATAATATGTGTATCTTTACAAACATGGGTGTAAAACAAAATGTTCAATGCATGGTCAGTAGGTGAACAAGAAAGTGATTATTTTTCTTCTTTTCTAATGAATCCTTTTGAAGTAGAAGTTTTTATATATTAGAATAAAACAATGTCTCATTTAAAATTGGGAAGGATTTTTTGTTTACTTACAATCAGCTTCAGTTTCTGTGAAACAGGTCCTGTTGGAAACCAAGTAGAGGTTCCCATGTGGAAACAACCTAAGACCCACCAGATACAAGAAAATGGAAATTTAATTTTGATTTACTCCTTGATTCTCAAGAATGTGATCAGAACTCTTAGGACAAATGCCTGAGCCTCTACTGAGTGATCTGGAACTGTTACTGCACGTGGAAAGCACAGAGGCACAGAGGGGAACTAGCAAATGACCGAAAGCTGTGTGGGCTGATGTCACTGCTGGGGCTCCTAGGCAGTGTTTCCTGTGGCTTCCAACTCCTTAGCACCTTCCTTCCCCAACGGGCCCTGGGCTGCCCTGGACTGGGAGGTGCACAGAAGGGGAGGGTGGTGGTGCAGGGGACAGTGTGGGTGGCAGGAGGCGCTGGTGTGGTGATGGCGTTCTATATTCTCAGGCTTGTTTTGTCGATGTGCTCTGTCAATGTGGTTGATTCGTGGAAAATGCTTGAAGTCAAACCAGCCCCTGCTGGTTGGGGCTGTGCAAGCGGTGGCTCGGGTGTTGTGAGATGAAATAAGGACAGTTAAACCACAGCTGACTTTGCTCACTTCCAGAGGGCCACAGCTAATGGAAAGAACATATCCACCTGTGTACTCACGCTCCTGCTGTCAAACATACTGTGAGGCTGTGGGTGAGGGTCCCCCTAGTTTATACCAAGTTCATTCCAGTAGCTGCTACATGAGTTGGGATCATATGACCAGGACTGTTGAGACGCTGCTCCCTCAGTCCACTCCAATGACACTGTTCTGAAGGAAACAGCACGCAGACTTCTTGTAACACTAGGTGATCCCCCACATTCCGCCAGGATCTGCACTTTTCCATGGCAGGTGATTTACTGAGGCTCCTATCTTCAGTCTCATTTTGTCAGTGTGGACAGGGTGACATGAGACCTGTGCCCATGAAGCTACTAGCACAGGTAGACTGTAGACATCACAACAGCAGGTGCTTCTTCCCTCACAAGAACATAGCCTTATGGAGGCCCTGAGTTTACCTGTGTCATTGAATGTCATAGACTGAGTCATCTCAGTCCCTGCAGTAGTCAGACTGAGCAAGGATCCACAGAAGACATACACATCAGGTAAGTGTGCTGAGGGTCCAACAGAGTTGATCTGACCTGTACAAATGGCTACTTTCCAGCCAAACCAGCACCAGTCAGTACTCATAACTGAGTTTTTCTTGAAAGACACAATGAAAAAGGAAAGAAAACTAAGAGACACACTATCTTCGCATGAAGCATTGAGGGAAATACTCATGTTGGAAAGAAAGAGTTCACAATATAATTTAGTTTATTTTAATTCAAATTAGCCACACAAAGAGAAATGATGGCCATGATTTCAGACTGTAGGTTCAAAATAAAGAGTCTCACACCATTTCAGAACCATACTTCTCAGAGAAAGATGCTATTTCATAATGAAAATAATACAAAAATGTCTGGTTATGCTGTACATGTACTCACATTCCCTCCTGGCCCCCCTTTGGTAATTCCAATACTTCAAGCCAAATACATAATGCAAAACAAGTAAAATAAAATGAACCATTTTGATATGTTGGTATTTATTACTTTTTAAAATTGTACAAAGAGCGCATAAGCGTGAGTTAAAAAACACAAGGGAAATGTTGGATGTTAAAAAAGAAATACAAACGAAATCTGAGACATGAAACAAAAACTTCCAAACTGCAAATCAAATAAAAAGATATTTTGCTTACTAAAAAAGTGTTATTCCAATATATTCAGAAGTCTTTTGATCGGGAATACAGCACAAGACTTTGCTCCAACTATTCATAAACAGATCAGACTCAGTCTCACTAACACGGGATGGATCATCACATTATCTTACCAGCCACAGGCAGGTCCTAAATGTACGTGATCTGGTACAATGTCTATGAGGTATTACAATAAATAAATTCTTTATTAGCCATTCATTAAAGTCAGCAGGGGATGTCACCTTCAACTTTCAATAGGAAGACCCAGCTCTGGTCCTTTTTTTTTTTTTCCTCCAGTGACTTTCAATGATGGATTTTCACACTTAGAAAAAGAGAGAACATAAAAAAATTTGAGCTACAGTGTTAAAAAGTAAAGTGCTACGTTTTGCCTTATATTTTCATGAGAAAGTTTGTGTGCTGAAATGGGCTGTTACAGACACAAAAGGACCTGGGTGAGGCCACACAAGAATTTATTTTAAGGCATTTTAGAGCTTTACTATTCACAGACCCCTATCTTTACTGCGTCTCAACCACTGATGCAGAAAGCAGGTCTGGAGTGTTTTGGGGCCCTGGGGGTGGAGAAACAGGGCCCACTCACCAGTCCAGGCTGCTCTGCGGCCAGTCCCCACCTGTCCCAGCTGCTCAGCAGCTCCGAGCCGAACACCACTTTCCTTCTGTCCTCACATAATTAGGCAGAGCTGCTGCTACTACAATTCACTTTGTGTTTATTTGCTGGCATTTCTGAGGCTGAAGTGTTTTCCTTTGATGATCTGAAGTGACTGAACAAAAGGCCCCACCTGGAGGCCCATCACCTCCTGCTCTGATTGGACCACATGCTTCTTCATGGAAGCTCCACAGCACTTGGGGGACATCTGGGTGCAGGGCCAGGGTGGACCCTGGTACTAGACTGGGGGGGCCTGAGTCCTAGCTCTGCCCCTTGCTAGCTGTGCCACCTGGGACGGTCACTCACCATTCTAGTCCTGCGTGCTCAGGTGTAGACAGAGACACTTGGTACCCACATCCCTTGGGACCGCTACCCTCATGCAGAGAGGGTTTGTAACTGAACAACATCTGACATGGAGACGTTCTGGCTAAGTAAACAATAATGAACTCATCCTTATTCTGTAGAAATGTGGATGGTAACTAGACTTATGATGGTGATCACACTGCAGTAGTGATTTGTAGTGTACACAAATACTGAAATCTAATGTTGTACACCTGAAACTTACCTAATGTTATATGCTAATTTTACCTCAAGGGAAAAAAGAGAAATTTGAACTCTGAGGTATTTTTCATACTTTACAAATTCACACCTATGCAAAAGAATGTTAAATTTTATATGAATAAAATATAACTATATATTCATGTGACTAGGATAAATCTGGCTATATATTTGTATTCATATTATTAAACCCGACCTTGAATCGACTCAAAGAAATGATCCATATTTAACTAGTTTCTTATTACACTTTCACTTTCAAACACTTACTTTAACAAAAGTAGTACTCATAGTTCCAAAAGTGGTTTTTCACTGTCCTGCTTTTCTTCAGCTTCTTCTTCAGATCCTACAAGGTAGGGAAAAGGAAAGAAAAAAAAGAAAGGTGAACCTTATATTATTCGTATATTTGAGCCTACCATTTCATTCCGGAATTATCTGTTTAGGAAATACGTCTGATGAAATGATACGTGTTTTCCATTAAGTGGATTTTGCTAAAAATCAGGAAAAAAAGTCTAGATGTCTGAGGCTAGAAAAAAAGTTTAAAAATTATTTTATTTCCACAAATATCTTGTATCCACTTATATTTACATAGCTCATTACAGCATGGAAAATGAACATTTTATAAAGTAAAAGCAAATATGTAATGAAAAGAACGATATCCCATAGGATCATAATTACAAAAATAAAAACTTAAGTACATATGTGCCAATCAGAAAGCCTACAAGAAAATAACCAGATGACTTGAATCATTTCTGAATGTTCCAAAATATGTACAACAAACTGACTTTATAATTTTTAAATTATAATTTTAAAAAAGGGTATAAATAATACTAGCAGTACAGCCACAATTATGTGGAATTACAAACACAAAACGATGATGTAATGTATGGTGATTAACATAATAAAAAAGATGAAAAAATAAACAAACAAACACAAAACGAGCAGGAGAGGAATTGCTGTCAACACTGATGTGGCACAGAGTTTGAAGGACAGGTTCTGTGCTTGCTGTTCTGTGCACATTTTTATAAAAGGTGAGTGTTACTCTCACAACCAGGGAAGGGACATAAAACAAGATACATGGGAAGACAAGGTAGCAGGTGAGGGATAGAGCCTTCTCACACACAAAGGAAGGAGCCTGCCTCAGGAGGAGCCGGTTGAAAGCTAGAGCTGCTTCCCCCGGTCAGATAATGCACCTCAAACAGCACATTTTTTCTTCTGAGAATGTCTGCCTGCATTATAGCAGGAAAATGAATAGCAGAGAAACTTAAGAAAAGATCGTGCCCCACATCTTAACCTCATAAACGTCACACGGCTCAGGTTAAGCTAGTGGCAACATAAATAGATAAAGGTATAGTGATCAGAAGGCTTCACTTTCCATCCTACTAAATTGCCGTAAATCATTATCACCCTGGGGTGGATTAATGCGTTCTCACTTGGAAATGAGTCTGAGGAAGATCGTCATACCAAATCTTTCTGTTTCTGGACTTATTTCCACCCGTCAGACTAATGGCATTTGAGCCACAACAAGCTGACGTGTCTTGGAATTATTTGGGACTCCTAAATAAAGCCAAAGTTTTAATTAAAACATAGTAATATGTATGTTTTACATAATTTAAAAATAAGCTAGTAAGGCCTTCTGGTTATGGTCAAGTGAAGTTAACAAATCTCCTTGAAAAGCAACTATAAAACTGGACTAGATAAATAAAACTAACCATGTTAGCAGTTGGGAAATGTCCAAAGACATACAAAAATCTACAAGTGTTTATGCTTGAAAAGCTGAAGGTAGGAAACAACAGTAGTGCTCTTGCCTAGAGCTGGTCCCATTCCTTTCCTACCTCCCAGTACTCAGCTCAATAGGCATGAAGGTTCTTCCAAGATAGGACAGCCCATGAGGACTGGAAACAGAGTTACACAGTGTGAGGAGCTGAGTTAATCTGGGGTGGGGAGTGACGCGAAGGTGAGCTGACAAGCTGTGTGGTGTGCAAGCAGGAAGGCCAGGGGCTCTGCTGGTCTGCGGCTGGGGTCGTGGCTGCAGCAAGCATGTGCTTGGCTGAAGCCGTGTGCATGTTTAGCAGACACCCAAAAGAGCCTCCTGGTCAATCCTGAGGCTTTGGACATATGCAGAGATGTGAAAAGACTCAGCGAAGAGTACAAGGAGAGGAAAACTTAAATTCCCTAAAATCTGAATATGCTACTCAATATATACACGTAACTATCTGTCAGAGGATGGAGGTCTTTTTTTAAATTTCCAGTATAACTAATGTATACTGTTGTATTAGTTTCAGGGGTACAATATAGTGATTCACCAATTCCAAACATTACTCAGTGCTCATCCCAATAAATGTACTCTTAATCCCCTTCACCTATTTCGCCTATCTGCCCACCTACCTCCCCCTCTGGTAACAAGTTTGTTCTCTGTATTTAAGAGTCTGTTTTTTTCTTTGTCTTTTTTTTCTTTCTTAAATTCCATATGGTATTTATCTTTCTCTGATTTATTTCACATAACAGAGGCTGGAAGTCTTATCAAGGTGCTTAAGCACAATCTCCATCCAATCACTGGCTACCACTAAACTATGTAGACACAGAGGTGGTCCCTGGGCAGCTAGGCTTAAAATTAAAAAAACAAAACAAAACAAAACCTTGAGTAGAACCATCAAGAGCCACATACTACAAGGGACATAATTTCACAGATTTAGCCTAAGCAATTTTTTAAGCAAAAATAACAATAAAAGCAACCTTTTGGGGTAAAAATCAGACTCTAGAGTTGCTACCATGTTTTTTCAACAAAATATTTTTCAATTAAAAAAAAGGCAAAGAATCAAAAAGTGTGACTATTCTCAGGCGCAGGGGAAACCTGGACAATTCAATAGAAACTCTCTGAGTGTGTCCAGGTTTTTTATTTAGCAGACAAAGACTTCAAAGCAGCTATTATAAATATGTTCAAGAAAGCATAGAAAGCCATTTTTAAATAAGTCTGACAACAATAAATGAACAAATAGATATTCTAAAGGATGTGATAAATTATAAAAAAGAAAAGATACCTAAAAGTAAAATGTGGAATAGAAAAATATAATAATTTAAGTGGAATATTCTGTAGAGGAGTTTAAGAGAATATTCAAATTGGCAGAAGAAATAATCTGTGAACCTGAAAATAGCGCTGTATGTTATCCAAGCTGAGTAACAGAGAAAAAAAACAAGAAAAATTGAACAGAGCTCAGAGACCAATGAGATAGCATTAATGGAATGGGACTCCCAGACAGAGCAGAAAGAAAAAAAAAAAAAGAACAGGAAAAATGTTTGAAGAAACAATGGCCCAAACTTCCTTATGGTTAAGAGTTTGGGCCAATTTTGCTGAGAAATATTAATCTACAAATCTAATAAAGTAAAGAAATACCGATTGGGATATATACAATTAGGTTCACCTCATAGGCAACTGCTGAAAGCCAAGAGTGCATGAAACTAAAAACATAACACATCAAATCTCATAAGAGGTTGCTAAAGCAATGCCTAGAAGAAAATTTATAGCTTTAAAAATGCCCACATCAGAAAAGAAAAATGTAAAATCAAACATGGGAAATAAGAGCAAGCTAAACCCACCCAAACAGAATAAAGGAAATAAAAACTGAAATAGAAATAACTGAAGCAGAATAGAGAAAAACAAGAGAGAAATACCAATGTAAACAAGCCAGTTTTTTGAAAATATCAACAAGCTTGATAAACCTCAACCTAGAGTTACAAAGAGGAAATGAGAGAAGACACAAATTACCGAAACTAGAAAAAAAGAACATCACTACCAATTCTGCAGAAGTTAAAAATGATCATAAGGGAATATTATAAATAATTTACATCAACAAATAGTTTAGAAGAAATGAATTCCTAGAAAGATACAAATTATCAAAATAAACTCAAGAAATAAGAAAACTGAGTACATCTATATATAATAGGTAAAGAAACTGAGTTAGTAATTAGAAGTCTTTCCACAAAGATAATTCTTGTTCCTGATGGTTTCATTGATGAATTTATCAAACATTTAAAGGAAAAATAATATTAATTATTCATAAGAAGAATTCATTCAGAAAACAGTGTGTTTGGAAAGACTTCCTAATGTATTCTATGAGGTCAGCATTACTGATATTAAAGGCAAGGACATAATAAGAGAACTACAACCCAGTAAGTAAAATATCATAAGCATATATTTCACATGTACATATATGTACAAACATTCTCAGGAAAATATTAGCAAGTCAAATCCAGAAAAATAATACTGGATTATACAACATGACCAAGTGGGATTTATCCTATATAAACAGTTGATGTGATATATCGATATTACTTAATGTACATCATCATATCAACTGAATATAGGATAAAAACCATACTATCATCTCAATAGATGCATAAAAAGCATGTAAAAAATTTAATGCTTATTCATGATAAAAACTCTCACACTAAGAATAAAAGCAAACTTCTTTAACTTGATAAGGGGCATCTGTGAAAACCCACAGCTAACAACATACTTAATGTTGAAAGACTGACTGCATCCCCCGAAAGACCAGGAACAAGACCAAGGATGTGTGCTCTTGACATTTCTATTTAACATGGTATTATGGTTCTAGACAGTGCAACTAAAAAATAAAATACATTTAACAAAGTGAAAATTAAAAGTAAAAAAGTCTTTAACTGCAGATGACATGATCCTGTATGCAGATAATGTCATGGAATCTACATACAGACAAAACCAAAACTAGAACTCATGAACAAGCTTAGCACTGTCACAAGGTACACATTCCATACACAAAATAGTAGTGGAATTTTTATATACTAGCATGGAAAATTTGAAAATGAAATTAAGGAAACAATTCCATTTACTATAGATCTAAAAAGGATAAAATGCTTAGGAATTAATTCAACAAAAGAAAAGCAAAACTTGTATGCTGAAAATTACAAAACAATGCAGAGAAAAATTAAAGAATATCTAAATAAATGCAGAGAGGTCCATGTTCATGGATTAGAAGATTCAATATTGTCGTGATGGCAATTCTTCCCAAATTCATCTATAAACCCAATGTAGTAGGCTTTACTCACAAAAATTAACAAGCTCATCCCAAAATTGACATAAAAACCCAAAAGACCTAGAATAGACAAAACAATGTTGAAAAAGAACAAAGTTGGAGAACTGATGTGGTCACCTTGCAGAAGCAGTGGGGGGAGGGACCCACCCAAAATTTGATTTAGATGTTGAGACTGATGTTGCCACACACACAGAGGGTGTGGAAAGCTTTATCACTGACACATGAGGTTCTGGGGACAGCAGGGTGGGTCTTTGAAGCAAGGCCTTACAGCACCTGATTTCAAAGCTACAAAAAGATTAAGTTTCAGTAATAAGGCCAGTGTGGTACTCATGCTAAGAGAGCATACAAGTCAATGGAAGAGAAGTGAGAGTCCAGAAATAAACCCTTACATTTATGGTCAAATGGTTTTTGACAAATGTGCAAATTCAGTGCAGGAGGGGATAGTCTGTTCAACAAATTGTACTGCAGCAACTGGATATCCAAAAGCAGAAGAATAAACTTAATTCCCTACCTTCTCCATACATGAAAATTAATTCACGATGGACCATAAACTTAGTAGAAGAGCTAACACTATAAAATATTCTAGAAGAAAACACAGGAAAGATACAAGATTAAGGCAAGGAGCTCTTAGATATGACCACAAACACATTATCCATAAAAGAATACATTCTGATAAACTGGACTTCATCAAAATTCAAAACATGTGCTTCAAAAGGCTCCACAAAGAAAATGAAAAGTCTACAGCCTGGGGAAGAAATATTTGTGCATCATTTAAAGGACTTTTATCTAGAACGTCTAAGGAACTTTTAAAATTCAATAAGAAGACAAACAACATAACTTGAAAAAAGGTGGTAAAATAGACATTTCTCCAAAGAAGATAAATGAATAATTAATAAGCTCATGAAAAGTTCTCAAGGTCACCAGTCCTTAGGGGCAAGTGAAAACCACAAGGAGATAGCACTTCATACCTGCCAGAATAACTATAATCAAAAAGCCTCTGCCAAGTGTGGGTGAGTACATGGAGAAACAAATCCTTACATACTGCTGGAGGGAATGTGAAATGGTACAGCAACTTTGGAGAATACTTTGGCAATCACTTGAAATGTTAAACAGAAACTTGCCGTAATATCCAGCAAGTCCTCTCCTAGGAATTTAAGAAAAATAAAACAAATGTCCCCACAAAGACATGCACATAAAAGTTCATAGGATTAGTCATAATAGCAAAAATTGCCAACAATTCCAATGTCTAACCACTGATAAATAAAGAAAACACTGTATGCCCATAAAATGGAATAGTATTGAGTCACATAAGGAACAAATGACTTACACATGTCACAACATGAATGGCTGTCAAGAACATTATACTAAGTAAAAGAAGCCACATGTAAAAATTACATATTCTGTGATATTTGTATTAATTGTCCAAAAAAGGCATATTTTCAAGACAGAAAGTAGATCAGTGGTTTATCTAGGACTGGAAACAGGAGTAAGTATTAGATACAAAATATTTTTGGATGATAAAAGTGCTCTAAAATTATACTGTGATGTTGGCTTAAAAGTATAAAAATCATGCAATTACCTATTTACAATGGGTCAATTTTATAGTATGCAAATTATAACTCATTAAAGCTATTCTTTTTTTTTAAATCAAGGTTAGATAATATCCTCAGTGGTGAAGTTTTAATACACTTCAAAATTTTTAATAAAAAGTAGAAAAACTGTGTTTCAAATCTGTTGATTACACATCAGGTGACCATAGAATTGATCATCTAAACAAGAACATTTCCTAGAGATCAAAGAAGTTCTAATAATAATTACATGGAACCCCAGGAGTTAGCCAAAACTGTCCAGGGCAAACCAGCATGTATGGCTGGTTGCTATTAGAAAGTGTAAAATTAGAATTACAGTGTCTTTCTCTAGATTTGCTTAGCACAGATTATATGATGCAATTGAACTATTCTTCAAATTAAGTCTTTCGATGATTTACGAGGTAACTACCTTTTCCTCAGCATCACGACTGGTTCACTTCAGCTGTCTGACCACACATAACACCTTCAGCCCAATCATCTGACAATGGACTGTGCTTCCTCCTTCCTTCATTGAATACACGGGGAAGCAGGACACAGTTAGACCAACATGCAAACCTGCAAACACACCACCTTTATATCCTTTAAAATTACATCTACCAAAAGGTGCTAGTTTTCCAAATCTCTAAGATACTAAATTTCAAAGAAATTTACAAGGAAAAATGCTAATATTTTAATTTTAATTGTTGGTGCCTCTGATGTCTTTCTTTCTCTCTTCTCGCCCATTCCTTCCACAGCTATACATCTACTCTGTGACAGCTCTACACTGGGTGCTGGAGAAAGTCAGGAGAAGGCAAGCAGCCCCCAGACGCCCTCTCCTCCACCAGGGGCCCATCAGCACTGGATCCATCCCAGGGCAGCAGGAGCACAGACTCCTGTTCTGTTTCATTTGTAGCCACTGCCCGAATGAGCCAGCTGTGCTTTAGAGTCGAATCTTACGTTCTAGGCACATCGATTCCATTAATAGTTTTTAATTTTAATTCTTTCCTAACATGAATGTTCCGAGAGTGAAAATATAATACAATAAAGTAAGTCACTTTGAACACTCCTTCTCTGCCTGCAACTTACCTGCGTTTTGTCTTGAACAAAGCAGTACCCAGCACAACACCCTGACAACGTTCTAGTTCTAGTTCAGCTTCATGATCCAATGAAATGGTAATGCTCCCAACCACCACTAGGAGGGGGTAAAAGTCAGAGGCAGGAAGCCAATGGATTCAGAACTGAAGCTTGATGAAGAATGTCTAAGTGGTATTCTTCCTGTATTATTATCCTGCTGCTCTGAACTTCTAAGTAAGTAAATACATTACTACTGAGAACCTTTATTACTTAGAAAAATAAAATCTATATAAAAGCATGAACAACAAAGTGAACCTCCTTATTCAAAAGAATGAGTCCTATGACAAAAAAAACTCAAGGAAATAATTCTCATAATGAGGTATGCAAAAGTATAATGCTTATTTGAGCTACTGTTGGCTGAGAAAGAGATCTTCTGCTAGCTCATATCTGTATTTCATCTAATTCTGTGCTTTCGTGTTTTACCCTGCGTTTAGATCCAACCCGAATAGTTCAGAGTATCAGGTTACTTGGAGTTCCCCTGATTCGCTGTCCCGTTGCTGTGCCTCTGATCACTCACATGAGTCTTTCTGCCTGGAATCTGCTCTACTATCTTATAGTGGGAGTGTTTATAAAATAATGCAGTCTCTAAATCAGTCTGCAGTCCCAGTGGTAGAAACAGGCCAGGCCAGGTCAGGGTTGAGGGCAGTGCAGCCAGCAGAGATGACAGGGTTGGGGGAAAGTCCCTGAGGAAATGCAGAGAACACCCTCCCTAGCAGCCAGCAGGTGGGGGTGCGGTGGGAGAAGCCTTCTCTCCTGTGAGTGGAGAGTAGGAATGCAGAGCAACAGTGTGAAGGGTAGGAAAGCAAGCCGAGCAATGGCTTGAGGGTTTGGGCACGCAATGTTTTCAGCAAAGCTAAGAAGGGAACACAGGGAGACAGTACTGGGAGGTCGGACAACTGGTGAGGTCAAACTGGTGCTTGCTGCCAGGCTAAGGACCATGACTTCCTTAATCCCTTCCGCTAGTGAAGGCTTTTGGGCAGAAGATGTGATCAATGCTGCATTTCCATTAATACTGAAAGTCCACAGATGGATTAGCTGTGAGGTGGACTCCAGCACTGAGCCAGGGTTAAAATCCTATCTCTACCTTTTACTTTTCCAGGGACCCTGCACAAATTATTTCCCCCCTCTGTGCCTCAATCTGTTCATCTCTGAAACAGGAATAATGAGACTTTCACCTCCTAGAGTGGATTCAGGAGCCCCTGGAACAATGCAAGTGCTCTATGTCACATGGCTCTCTGGTCGGGCTGGGAGAGGCTGACTGAGGCAGGGACACAGGAGGCTGGTGCAGGAACCACAGCAGGAAAGGCTGAATGTGGAGGAGACAGGAGGTGGTACAATGCATGAGACCCTGGAGGCAGGAATACAGAGGATGGAAATGGCAGGGGGAGCGATGGGATGGGAGCCCTGAAAAGGGCAGGTCCCCAGGGAGGCTCTGATCTCTGTCATGGGCAACTGGGTGGACTGAGATCCCTCCTCACACTGGGGGGTCCTGGAGGACGGTCAGGTGAGGGGGTGGCAGGGAATAAGAGAGCATCAAGACCCTTCCCCTGCTCTGCCTGTCTTCTGAGATGCACATCGCACGTCACAGGGTCTGTGGCCCTCGGGTACATTTACCTTACACTTTGGGTCTCACCACAGGTCCCACAGCAAGACCACGTCTCAGTTACTGTCGTATCCTTGGTGTCTGCTGCGTTCAATGTCTGCTCAGTGTTTTGAGAGCAGAGGGAGCAGAGAGGGAGGGAGGGCCGAGCTATTGAGTGATGGATGAAAACACAAATGATAATCACATTTTTTTACCTGCTTCAGATTCAGGTGGAGAATAAAACTGACCATCTGAAAGACCACCAGGTATAAGTGCCGCCCTCTCTGAAGCATCCTGAACTATCAGGAGTCCTGGAAGAGAAGAAATTCAGATGCTGGGGCTGATGTCACAATTCTGGTAGCTTCTTGGCAAAGTTAGCCACAATAAAATGCTGTTAACGTTACATTGAAAAGAAGTCTTAGCAAAAAGCTAAGTTCCATTCCAATCAGCACTTCCAGGGTCTTCCTTCTAGCTCAGTCCCTAGCCGCTCTCAGGAGCCTAACCTGGGGGACACTTACTATTTTCCTCTTCTGCCTCTTGAGGTAAGACTTTGAAATCCAGGAACCACGTCTCAATCCAGGCAAGGAGGAATGAAATGATGGGGAGCACGTAGCCAAAAGCCCCTTGGGAGAAAAGCTGGAAGGACAGAGGTGACCAGGAGAGGGAAATGAAGTTACCAGGAGCTCACAATGGAAAATGAAGCTTCGCCATTATAGATGGTAATTGTAAGAAAACGTGGGAGGCTGTACCTTTGAGAGGATCACTTTTGCGAGTAAAAAGGCACTGGTCACTGCTGTCGTCAGCTGAAAGACACATAATCCAGAACCATTCAAATTAGACATTTTACGTGGGGAAGACACCTGCCCCCAAAGACACCTGTCTGAACCAGAAACTCCTAATGCCTGTAAAAGCTCAGCCAGGCCCAGCTCCTGCCCACATCACTGTCTCCGGCCCCTGAACGCGCACTGGGCCAACGTGGGCTTCTTCGTGGCGCCCAATCCCTCCCTGGCTCCTGATGCTCTCCCTCCTCCCAGGGTCTAGCAGGCTAGTGTGCTGGGAACCTAAGTTTTGTCCCCCACTAGGTGCAACTTGCAAAGGCCCTCTCCCCACAGAAGGGATCCCTGAAATGCAGAGGCGGGGCTCCCCCTAGTGGTTGGGAGCCCAGAGATCATCCCACAGGACCTTGTCCCTCATCCCCCAACTAGGGTTCCTAGCAACATGACACCTGCCCAGAGTGATGCCAACAGGAGCCTGACTGACAGAATGGGGTCAGGGGACATCGGGTGTGAAGCTGTGTAAGTATTAACACAGCTGCAGAGTCAGTATTGGTTAGCAAATCACCACACACACACACACACACACACACACACACACACCCTGCAGCCAGTGAGCTTTCTGCAAGAGGAGGCATTTTACATTCTGACACTAACTAACTTTATAGGCTCACAGTACCTTTTTAGGTACTAGGTTAGTCCTCCTTCCAGCTGGCTGATGCCTCTCTGCAAATGTTTTTAAAAAGAAAAATCAAAAATAATCAAATGGATGTGCTAATCATGATCCATCACTTCATAATTTGGTTAAGATATTGAAGATACTTGTGGTGCCTGGGTGGCTCAGTCGGTTGAGCATCTGCCTTCGGCTCAGGTCATGATCCCAGGGTCTTGGGATCGAGTCCCTCATTGGGCTCCCTGCTCAGTGGGGAGTCTGCTTCTCCCTCTCCCTATGCCTGCAGCTCCCCCTGCTTGTGCTCTCTCTCTCCCTCTCTCTCCCTGACAAATAAATAAAATCTTTAAAAAAATTTTAAAAACTTAAAAAATAGATATTGAAGATACTTTCTAAAAACTCACTGAAAGTCACTCACTCCTCTGGAACAAATACTGAGACAGATGGTCTGACAAACACTAGTGTGCGTTAAGGAGACTCTGGAGTAGAATGCTTCAAATGGGACGGCTATAGAAAACAGAACGGACAATCACAGCAATTTGTTACCAGCAAAAATGTATTCAGGAAAGGGAGTCAAGTCTGGCTAATACTGTCAGCCTACATCTGAGACACATTAGCATGTGGCTCAGCTGATGGTCTGATGTCAGTCCTATGATTCTGTGGATGCTTGGAAGAGAAGCCCCAGGCCGATGTGGCTCCCAGTGGACTGTGTCTTAGGAGAGAGTCTGTCCTCAGCTGGGCTAGCCATGCCGGCACCCACACACACCCCGAGGCCTCACTCGAGAAGCAGGACTGCAGGTATTCCTGAGCAGTTCTCTCCAGCTGGGGGAGCTCAACATTCCCCCCATACACCTGCCTTATTAGAGCTCTCTGAAAGGCAAGTGTTCAGATATCTGCGGAAATGGCAAAAATAATTGAGGCAGAAAGGCTTATAATTCTTTTAACCAGTAAATATTTACTGACAGTGAAGAGCATGTGCCAAAGCTCCGTGACAGATGCAAAGAAACAGAGATGAGCAAAAACACCACCGCCCTTGGGGTGCCTGGGTGGCTCAGTTGGTTAAGCATCTGACTCTTGGTTTTGGCTCAGGTCATGATCTCAGGGTTGAGAGATCAAGCCCCGCATCCAGCTTGGAGCTCAGCAGGGAATCTGCTTCAGGTTCTCTGTCTCTCCCCCTCCCCTTGCATGCTCTCTCTCTCTCTCTCTAAAGTAAATAAATCTTTAAAAACACCACTGCTTTCAGGAAGCCTGAAGGCAACAATAAAAAGGAGCTTGGGAACTTTTTCCTTTAATATTGGAGGGAGGGGATAAAATAGCAAGAAAGGCAATTATCAAAATAAGCAGAGAGCGAGTCATGAAAAATTACCAAGCAGTTTCAACCAAAGGGGAAATTTTCCAAGTATCTTTGCAACACAGGTGCTGATCTCAACACTCATTTGCAAAATGAGGTAGAGGGTGTGTTGGTGCTTAGCCAAGAATCACTGTTGGTGCTCTATGTTCCTCATCTGGCTCAGTATCCACTGAGACGAAGCTAGTTACTCACTGACCACTGGAAAGCTGCCCCAGCGTGTTGAACCTACTGAAGGGTGGAGGAAGGGGACTCAGGAGAAGCTAGCAGAGTTCAACCCAGATGAAAAGCACATTTTCTCCCAGCCTATCCCTGTTGTGAGCAGCATCAGAGGAGACAAACCACTCACACAAACATACTCACCGCTATGGCCCACCAATGGCGCAGTCTGCACACAGCATATGCAAGTATTAACACTTTAAATCGAAAAACTGCCAAAAGCTATATTAAAAAAAGAGACAAGATAAGTTTAAAAAAAAAAAAAACAAATAACTGAGTTTTATGAAGAACTCACCAAAGCATCTTTATTATTCTGACTTAACTGAAGACTGGCACTGGGCTGTAGACCTGTATTCAGATCCCTGCTTTAGAATCTGTGCAATGCTGCCCAAATAAGGGTTCAAATTCACATCCCATTATCAACACAAGAATATATAATTACATGTTTTATTTTTCCTTTCTATTTGAGTGCACATATATTTCTGATATCCTTTTAAGACCGGAGAAAATGTTCTGAAAGTTGAGTTTTCCACTCCTGGTACAAACACTCACCTCTGGAAGATACCAGGTTCTTAGTCAAGTCTACCATAAAGCTCTGGGTTGTGGGGGTATTGGGACAGTTCTATCCGAGTAGCTACCACCCAGTTATTTAGGGTGGCTCTGGGACTTTTGTGAAACCTTTTATGTGTATTATTATCCCATGTAATCCCTTCCTCAACAATCCCATGCATCAACTATCATTAATCCCATTATGCACATAAGGTGGATAGAAAAATTGCACAGTCAAACAACTCCTTAGTGAGGAAGCCGGGATTTGAACCCCGGTGGCTGGACTCTACTGAACCACTATGTCACAGCTGTCCTTGTAATTCTCATCTAGCAAGAAATACACATAGAATAAGATTTTACCGATTTTCCTTGGAAGACATGCCTATCGTGGGTAGGGAGAAGTCAGGTGACTCTTGAGCAGTGCCTGAAGGCAGGATTCTTTCTGCCAAAAGTTCCTCACTAATCAAAACTGCTGAAAGGCTGGAGGCTGACAGCCTTTTTGCGGCCATTGACCAGAGGACCAACACTTACGATTCTTTTACGTAAATGAAGGTCACAAGTTAGATTTTGTTTTTAATTTGCTGTTTTCATTAAAAATGTGTTTTCCAACAGTTTATGAACTGTTTAGCCTCTCTATTCATTCCAGCTCTATCCCTGAATTCTGGGTTTGGCAAAAGGGTAAGTCTTCATCAATCCTCTATCTCAAAGTCTCCCAGGTCCTGAGGTTTCCTGGAGGCTGTGTCCATTTCCCAGGCCACACATGCCAGTCCTTCCAGTCTGAACTAATGGGCCCTGCCTATCTGGCCAGTACCACTGACTCCCCAAGCATAAAGGACAGACAACCCTCAGAGATCTGGCTGGTAGATTAGCCTGGTTTCTTGGCTGAGGCTATTTTAAGATAAATTCAGCAAGACAAAGAAGAGAAAAAAGAGAAATCAATCTTGCTATTATATGTCAATAGTTTTAGGAAGAAAGAAATGTCGAGATTTGGGATCTAACATGCTCTGCCCCCAACTTCAATGACCTGGGGTGGGTCAAGACACTGAACCAAAGAAACTCAATTTCCTTGTTTGGAAAAATGAGGGGATTAAATTATATTAGTGGTTTTCCAAATATTCTGTAGTAACCAAACACTTGTTCAACACAATCTTATTGGAAACATACTGTACAGATAAAAACAGAACTACTTGTGTTGAATGGGGCTTATGACAGGGAACCCTAACCTCTATAAAGGAGTCCCACCTCCTTCCCCATACACACTTCTGCAGGCCCCTTCGGAAATAAAACAGCAACAAAAAGCCTTTCTAGTGTAGTTCGAAAACCACTAAAAATATAATTACTCAATCATTAAAATTCTCAGCCAAAAATAATGGTGATGGTAATGACTGCAGACAGTTCTCTGAGCATCTAGAATATATCGCTCACTGGGCTAAATGTTTTCCATGCATTACTTCATTTACTTTTCAGAACTAGGATGATCTCATTTTACATACGAAAAAACTGAAGTTTAGACCCAATATATTAAAAGAAACAGTGACAGTGTTGTGAATCAAACCCAGGTTTTTCTGACTTTAAGGGTCCTGCTCTTAAACCACTCTGCATAAAGCTTCTAAAGGTAGTGAAGAAAGTAGGTAAACTGAATTTAGAGGAATTCACTGTGAATATTGCCTACACTGCATGTAACACAATGTTAGGATCTGATTTACTTACATCATCAACTATAAAGAGATACCAGGGAGATGTACCAAGCCCAGTGAGAGTCACAGTGTGTCCTAGAAAGATTGTAAGCATTCCTTTGAATGAAATGAAGCCCTCATCAACAGAGAATTGCATATGTGCAATTTTGCAACTGGCTGATGTTGCCCAGGATTACCAAAAGATCACTTTCCTCAAAAACTCCAATTATAGAAAAACTAAAACACAGTATTTAAAAGTACTCTTGGAAATCTATCTCAAGGCAGAAAAGGAATGGCATTTTCATAGTGTTATTATATAAAAAGGGGAATTTTCCTGTTAGTGATTAGGGTATGTCGCTGGCTTCTATGAAAAGAATAAAGGCTCTCCTCCAAGAAAAGCAGAATGGCTCCTTCTGCTGCCCTTCCTTGTTTCTCACTAATCATGTCCTTCCTTCCTGTGACCAGACAGTTTCTTACAAAGAAGAGTGTACGGACTGGGCCAGAAACTGAGGAAAAGGAAGGCCAGTGTTCGAGAGAGGGAACGTGAATGGCATAGAACATGGGATCTTTTCGGAGGAAATTTACCTGCTGGTTACAGATTCATCATATCTGAAATGAAATGTAAAACAGGAAATACTTACGAATATATCAAAATAAGAGGAGTAGTAGTCATACTGCACCACCTCCTTCTCTAATGTGTTCTCAATGCCTCCATTCACCTGGGAAGGAGAGTGAGAAGTAAAAATGAGAGATTCACACGTGAAAACAATACAAGAACACATACAAGTCAGGTTTTGTAAGCACTTTTCTACCTACCTTCTCAGAAGCCTGTAATGTTGAAATAGGAGGAACAAAACACTCCTAACTCTAATAGAAAAATGCTGAAGAGCATTTCCCACTTCAACTCTGAATTCATTCATTCGACAAATACAAATGCATAATGAAAAGTAATGCTTTGTTTGTAGTTCCTATTTTGGCAAACTAAAATGTTTAAAAAAACGATTCTTTTTCTCTTCTAAGATAAAGTCTTCAATCAAACCAATGTATAATTTTAAGGAAGACAATTCACATTCATCCAGCTCTGCCCTCACTGTCTGACCACCCTCCAAGTTTCAGCTCCTGGATGGCCAACAACTCCTCTGATCTTAGCAAAGATCAATGACACGAGATACAAGTGTGGATATTCTCTCTGGTTTTTCTTTTTTATTTGCTCCTGGCATTTGAAAATCCTGCACTCTCATCAACTTTCATAAAAATTTTTAATTTGATAGATAATGAAATAAGGGACAGACCAGACCTACAATCGTATGTGCAGAAGTTACAGTAAGTGATGAAAATCAGACCTAAGACGACAAACTTTCTGTCCTCTCCCAATTCTCCTATCAAGATGACTTTTAAGTGAGCAAGTTCAGAACTCTACGTATTACACTTACAGAAAATATTAAAAAAAAAACAAAACAAGTAATGGAATGTGTGTCCGACAGCTCACGCAGCAGCCAAGCAGACACTAGACCAGTCAGGGATTAGGAAGCATGACATGCAACAGTAAATTCACCTTTCCAATTTGGAGTACAGACATTGTTTGTCCTGGCAAACTGATGGAGATGATCTGAAAAAAGGACAAAGTGAAGGGCGATGGACCCAAGACCTGGATAAAGGGGGAGAAAATTAATAAGGAACACCTTTGCAAGGCCTGTGAATTGGTCAAACTGGAATTAAAGTTGCCACAAGGAAAGGATCCTCTTGGCTTGGAAACCTTTACAAGTATTTATATTTGTTATTCAAATGAAAGTATGCCATAAAACACCATTGGGTACTTTAAAAATCCCTTAAGGAGGTTTAGATTTCTGCATAATTTGTGCAGATTGCCTATTGACCTGCTTGAATATAGATCTTTACAAGCGAATAGAACAGAAAACTTGGGAACAAAGAGAAATAATTATTAAAAGCCAACCAACTAATGTAGTCTTATCACTGTGGCTCTCCAGACTAAGGAAACTTAGCACTGTCCAAAATATTAAAAGAATGATTATTCCAAATGACCTATAGCAAAGAGGGGTTCTCTACTGCAGAGACTACCCTCCTGGCTGAGAGAACAGCAGTCAACCTGCTGATACAGTTCTTCAATAAACAGCCAGTAGAAAAAGGCTTTCCATGGTATCTGCACACTTTAAAAGACCCTGATTGGGGGAGGGAGGGCTGAGTGGCTCAGTCAGTTAAGTAGCCGACTCTTGTTTTCAGCTCAGATCGTGATCTCAGGGTTGTGAAGTCGAGCCCCGCATCGGGCTCCACACTCAGCATGGAGTCTGCTTGGGATACTCTCTCCCTCTCCCTCTGGCTCTCCCCCAGCTTGTGTGCTCTCTCTCTTTCTCTAATAAAGAAATAAAATCTTAAAAACAAAACAAAATAAAATAAGACCCTGGTTTTGTGTTGCCTAAATTTAAATAGAAAAATTTAAAATCTACATCTGTAGCTTAAATTTGTACTCTAAATTCCTATTTCAAACTCTTTGTCTCAAGATGTGCCCCGCACAGACTCATCTTTAGTTTCTCATGGAGCCTCCTCTCCCTGTTCTGACGGAGCTGGTCCTGATCTCCTATGTTCCATCACTAGAGAGCCTAAGCTTCGTTTCTGGATACCAAGGATGATAAAACCACCCTATCAATAAGTCTATTAGCATACTTATTTTTGAGTATGTCTCTCAGATCAGCTTTTTCCTTGCTACTCCCATCACCCTACACAGACTCCTTTCATAGCTTCAGAGCCAATCTGTCCCTAATGATTTACAGAGATAGACCACAAAAGTAAAGGGATGGCGTGCAGTGAAAACCCCAGGTCAGGACTGACAATCTAAAACAAAAAGAACTAGAAATTGAACGTTAAAAAAAAATTTAAAAATAAAAAAAAATAAAACCTTGCTAAAAAAAGTCAAGATGTGCTATCCTAAAGATCATATGTTCTCGTATGATCTTTTTATTTTACAACTGGGGCAACTGACAGTCCGTGGAAAAGTGAGTCTTAAAACACATTTCTTAATCTGAAAAGACATATACACCCTGTGTTTACTGCAGCATTGTACAATATCCAAGATATGGAAGCAACTCAAGTGTCCATCAGCAGATGAACAGATAAAGAAGATGTGGTGTACACACACACACACCCCCCAGAGTATCAGCCATAAAAAAGAATGCGATCCTGACATTTGCAACAATGTGGATGGACCTAGAGGGGATAATGCTAAGTGAAATAAGTCAGTCAGAGAAAGACAAATACTAAGTGATCTCACTCACATGTGGAATTTAAGAAACAAGACAAATGAACAAAGAAACAAGAAACAAACAAAAAACAGACTCTTAAATACAGAGAACCAACTGATGGTTGCCAGAGGGGAGGTTGGGCGGGGTGATAGGTGAAACAGATAGGATTAAGAGCTACAAACTTCCAGTTACAAAATATATGTCACAGAGATGAAACATACAGCATAGGAAATACAGTCAGTGAGACAGTAGTAAGGTTGCTTGGTGACAGACTACACTGATTGTGAGCACTGAGTAATATACAGGAATGCTGACTCATTATGTTGTACACCTGAAACTAAGGTAACACTGTATGTGTTCATTATACTTTAATAAAAAATTAAACAGAAATACATTTCCTAATTGCTACGTCTGGTGATTTTTCATTTATAACATGTTGCACACAGATGAAAACTGATCCCCTCTGATGAACACCAATCCCCCCTGATGCACAAAAATAGCATGCAGTCCACTTCACTTCCATTTCAATGTCATTGAAGCAGTAAGAAAGGAGGGAAGTGAGTGTGATCCATGAACCCCACCACAGCTCCACCCCATGACTTCCCTCACTTAAAAGCAGGGAGTGATATTAGTGGTAAACCAATAAATGCTTTGATTTTCCGCTGTCACTAAGCTGCTATGCTTTCCTGTTAAAAGATGTATTAGTAGGGGCGCCTGGGTGGTTCAGTTGGTTAAGCGTCTGCCTTCGGCTCAGGTCATGATCCCAGGGTCCTGGGGCTGAGTCCCACACTGGGCTCCCTGCTCCCTGGGAGCCTGCTTCTCTCTCTTTCTCTCTCTGTCTCTCATGAATAAATAAATAAAATCTTTAAAAAAATTAAAAAATAAAAAATAAAAAAAATAAAAGATGTATTAGTTTTGGGCGCCTGGGTGGCTCAGTTGGTTGAGTGACAGCCTTCAGCTCAGGTCGTGATCCTGGAGTCCTGGGATCGAGTCCCGCATCGGGCTCCCTGCTCAGCAGGGAGTCTGCTTCTCCCTCTGACCCTCCCCCCCTCATGTTCTCTCTCTCTCATTCTCTCTCAAATAAATAAATAAAATCTTAAGAAAAAAAAGATGTATTAGTTTTGAAAACACAGTTTTTAGTTTTGAACACATTACTCTTTTGAAATATATATTAACTTAAATATTGTCTTTAATGTATATATGCAGAATAATAAAAAGAGATACTCTAAATTACTGTGTCCTATCACTGGCTTGTTTGGTTTAAACAATTCTTGCCTGTGAGGAAAGCATTCTGGAAGAGTTACCTATTTGCTGGTAAGGAATATAAATAGAGCCAACCACGGCTTTGGGGGGAAACAGACATATTGGGTTAAATAAAATATATTATTAAAATATATTTCACCTGTTTATTTTTACCTTTATTAATGTAGCAACTAGGGAACTTAATCATTTGCGAGGCTTGCATTATATTTCCATTGGACAGTACTGGCCTAGACAATTATTTGGCAATATAACCGCAAAGACCTGATAAGATGGAGATGAACCTCCAAATGGTTCTAGAACATTTTTTTCAATAAAATATGAAAAATCTCTTTGTGAAAAAGTAAAGAATAAATGTATGAAAAATCTTAAACATGGAGATTAGAAAAGTAGATGTAACATCTAAAACATATTCCAGAGGCATGCTACATTTTCTGGAGCAAGAAAAGGGCCAGGAAATAAACACTTTTGCCTTTGTGGGCCAATATTCAACTCAACTACTCAGCACAAAAGCCAGCCATAAACAATAGGTAAACAGATGGGCAGGGCTGTGTTCCAATAAAGCTTTATAAAAACAGGCCAGCTGAATTTGGCCCCCAGGCTGTAGTTTGCTAACTCCTGGTATAGAGCAAAACACCACAAATTCAAATTTCAAAGTGAGTTCTAAATGAACTAGCTTTGCTTTAAAACATGACAGTACAGAACAAGAAAAGTCAAAATCAGGTGGAAAAGAGAAATATTGCCTCTGGAAAAAAGATGGAATTCACTAAATGAGACGGAAATGATGAGAAAAATAAGAAAATTGTTTCTTGTCTGTGGAAACAATTCTTATATAAAGTCATGGGCAAAATCACTTACATTTAACTCTATTATCCAGAGTAATGTTACAAATAAGAGGTCAAAGGTGACAAACAAACAGAAAGTCCTCCTGACATCAGATATGCCTTTCTTCTCCCTTCCTTCGTAAGACTCGATCCTGGCCATGAGGTGTGTGGGGTTGATGGAATGAACGTCGCGCAAAGAAGTGTGAGGGCTCTGACTCCCTGTGAGAGCGCTCTCCATGTCTTCTTGCAGGGGGTTCATCCTGGAGGAGGGGTAAAGGAGCCTTTCTCCAACTTCACCATCCCTAGAGAGAAGAGAGCTTTGTGTTAAATTAGAGCTCACCTAAGACCACCATGCTACCCCCACCACAGGGCAACTGTTTCTCTGAGCAACAGTGTCTTAACTGAAGACATTTCTTCTGATGAAGACATAAACAGAAAGTGAAGAGAAGCAATCCTTGATGTTATCAATCAATATTACAAAAGAGCTGTTACAGAAATGAATGAAATAAAGAAGAATGCAAATTTACAGAATTAAAGAGAGAAGACAGGATGCTAACCACATCAAGAAAGGTCTCACTGATAACCTGGAGATGGCCGGTTCCTTTGCTGGGCCCCGGAGAAAACCTCTCCAACTCTGTGTTGTTACTCCTGAACCAGGAAACCATTTCCTGAAAGCTCCCCAGAGGGCATGTAACCAGAATGTGTAAATGAGACAGGAAAAACATGTTTCCTAAAGAGGAATTGCTTTCCACCAAAAGTATCTAATAAGCTGATTTTAGCATTTCCCCATCACCTAATGAATAAGCATGTTTCCAGGTCTCTTCTTGGGAAAAAAGTACATCCCCCCCCCCACAAAGTTCAGCATTATACAAATACCTCTGTGCTAATTAAATAGGTTACAGCTCTATCTAGAGATCCAGGAACTCCTCTCCCCAAGACCAAGATGTGCTTCTACAAGTAAAAGATTAGTAATCTAAGTGGTCTGATCTCATGGATGACGCAAAGTCATCAAACAGTATGGTCGGTGATATTATTGTTTGCCAAATATTCCTGTTTCCCTCCTAGAGCATTTCTCCCCATGGGAGATTCTATACCCCTGGTTCTACTGACTTCATGTGCCTTTCTTTGGCCAATGGAATGCAAGCAGAAGTTTGGGTGCCACTTGCATCCAGATCTAGGAACCATGCACTTGTTCTTGCTTTTGCCACAGCAACTGGCAATGGCCAGATAAAGAGCATTTTCAAGGTGGGTAAAACAGAATTTGGAAACAGACTGCTGAGGTTTCCCTAAAGCACTGTGGTCCTGCTTGGTCCTGTCATAGTCCAGAACTGTCTCCTTAATAGAACTTCTCTCCTTTCCCACATTCAGGAACAAAAGTCCTTCCCACATTTTCATACAATGTGGTGATAAAATGACATAACATTTTGGAAAGCAATTTGGTTACATGAACTAAGATGCTTTAAAATATTCATACTTCTTGGGCTAGTAAATCTACTTTGCAAATCTAAAGAAAATGAACTGTAGACCTTCAGGACAAAAACTGATCTGTCATTACAGGTCGGCTTAGTGATTACCTTTGAGCAAGAGGGAGGGAAGAGTGACTAGAGCTCATAAGTTTGGTCAAATTCCATTTCTTGGCCTGAGTAGTGCTAGCATGGCTATGCTCACTTAGTGATAATTTACTGATGTAGGTAGTAGTTTCAGTGGTGTGATTTGTGAAGATTCAAAATACTGTACACTCAGGTACATGTACACATATAGGAATTGTGTATGTGTCTCTGTGAAGTAGACTTTATCATTATATATCTATAATAGTTCCAACTAGAAAACAATCTAAGTATCTAACAAAAAGGGATTAGATAAATCATAGTACAGCCACAGTAGTCATTACAATACTTAGTATAACTTAGAAAACTGCTTGTTATAATAGTAACTAAAATCTGAATATTAAACAGAACACAGAGGGCGCCTGGGTGGCTCAGTTGGTTAAGCGACTGCCGTCGGCTCAGGTCATGATCCTGGAGTCCCGGGATCGAGTCCCGCATCGGGCTCCCTGCTCAGCAGGGAGTCTGCTTCTCCCTCTGACCCTCTTCCCTCTCGTACTCTCTCTCTCTCATTCTCTCTCTCTCTCAAATAAATAAATAAAATCTTAAAAAAAAAAAAAAAAAACAGAACACAGAGTTTGTTCACAATTTTGTAAAAATAAAACCAAATTTTTAGAGGAATGTACCTATGAAACATACCAAATGTTAATACTGATTATCTCTGCCTGATATTATATGCCCTCCTGCATTTACCTTTTCCATATTTTCAGACTTCCTATTTTGCACATACAGTATTTACAACAGGAAGGATTAAATTCAAATGTAAAATTGTTATATTCCTGGACGGATGCCTCAGGACTTTATGAGGCCCTTCCCTCCCTTCTCAACACATCTGGGTGACAGTAGATAACCGCATCTTGGACATTTTGAAAAGTTCAATAGGAGTCCACTTCAGTGCCTTGTTTTTTTGTTTTGTTTTTTTTTAAAGATTTTATTTATTTATTTGACAGAGAGAGAGAAAGAGACAGCAAGAGAGGGAATACAAGCAGGGGGAGTGGGAGAGGGAGAAGCAGACTCCCCGCCAAGCAGGGAGCCCAATGCGGGGCTCGATCCCGGGACCCTGGGATCATGACCTGAGCTGAAGGCAGACGCTTAACGACTGAGCCACCCAGGCACCCCCACTTCAGACCTTTGTAAAATAAAATATAAAATTCCAAAACTCGAAGCATTTCTACACAATTTCTTTCTCAATGAGATCATTACCATCCTAAGGGAAGGAATACCAATGGCATATTCCCCAGTACAGCTGCTCTTAAAAACAAAGCTTGCAAAACACGAAATTTATCTTCCAGGCTTCTAAGAGTTAATTCTGGACAGTGAGTAAAAAGGAGTGTAACTGTGTTTTCTGTGATGAAACACACATTTCAAAGTTCAAAAAGATACCGGAGTCGCTCTCTAAATTTAAACCTGGATAAATATAGACATATTTCTATAACCATGCATTCTACAGTAAGAAAAAGCAATCCAAGTAGTTTTTAAGCCAATCTAATATCCTATTAGCAAGTATATATAAAAATTAATTTAAATTCTGAAGTCTACTAAACTGTATAGACCATCCAACAAATTCATAACTGAAACTCGGGGCTGTTTTTAGGAAGAAAATAGCTTCCGAGGTAATTAGATCATTTTCTAGTGTCATCCATTCCTCCTTCCCTGAGCCCACTCCTCATGAATAAAAAATGGTAACAAAGCAAAACACCAACCATAGAAATCTGAGGCTATTTCAAACTAAAACATGACATCATACAATGGTATACAACTGCCTTGAGAAATGAAAATCATTACATTGTTTTTCAGATGCATGCACAGAACTGCTAACTAGCTAGAATTTATAGATATTTGCATACTTTCAACAATAGTTACCCAAAGCACAGATTGTTGTGAGCGGACTCCTAGCAGATTGATCCCTCCCTAGGACAGAGGAACTTTTAAAAGGGAAAGAGAGCCTCCTTTAAATGTATAAAAGAAAAGGAAACTACATAAAGACCCTTTCTGCTCTACAATCATAGGACTTCATGCTAACCTTGTCCTGCCAAAAGATTCAAGTGTGAATTCCTTCAGGAAGACTTCACTGAAATGCTCCCCACATTCTAATCCCTGGCAGGGTCAAGTACATCTCCTCCAAGTTCCCCTAGGACTTGTGGATATGCCACTTCTTGCTTACTACAATGTGCCCTAATTATCCATTCATTCACCTGTCTCTAGTCAGTGTGCTCTGTGAAGGCCTTGAATTTGATTTGCACACTCCTGTACCCCAGGAACCACCACAATATACGGCACACAGCAGGAACAAAACAACTGGTTGACTAATTTAATTCTACCATCTATCACAGAGACCAGCAGAGTTGGCTTTCAAAATTCTCTGAATTGAAGAGACCACAACTACTTTTTTCTAAGGAAGAGCGTGGATATTCTTCCAGATGTAATTTTGGAAGTATTAAATATTCAGTTCTTGGTACTGAGAACCTCTCTGGGGTTGGCTTAAGGAAGACTAAGCCTCTCTAAAGAGCGTGTTAAGCACTGATTAGCTATATGCACAGGAACCTAAATCTACAATTCAAGATTTATTCCAACCGTGGGGAAAGTATGGGGGATGAGGAGTGGGGCAGAGAATTATTAAGAAAAAAAGAAAAACATCTCCTTATCTTTTTCTGGGATTTGTGTGAGGAAATGAGAATCTCCTTTTGTTATTTCAGTTTTTGAAAATGAGATTCATGTCTTCCTCTCTAGATGAATAACTATCTTCCTCTGTACTCTAAAATTAGCCAGCTATTTCTACAATTATGCTGTATTAACAACTGCCCCAAATTCAGTGGCTTAACACAATCTACATTTATCCTCAAGCCCACGGGTCTACAGGTTGCCTGAAGTTCAGCTGCTCCAGTGGGGGCTCAGCTAGGCAACTCTGCTCCTGGGGGCAGCAGAACTCGGCTTCAAACTGTGTGTTGGATCTAGATCTGATCTTTATCTTCCTCCTTGGACCAGGACTATCTGGGTCATGTTCTTTTCACAGCAAGTGGCAAGACCACAGGAGACAAGCTAGAACATGTAAATACATTTAAAATCTCTGTATACATGATGTCTGTCCTATTCTATCAGCCAAAGTATAGCTCAAGGCCAGGCCCAAGGCAGCAGAGCTCGCATGTACACTCCACTCAAAGAGAAGGAGAACGTAAGTGCATATTTGATTAATTTTCCAATCTAGCATAGCTATCAATGTTCTAAACCCGGGGTTGACAAACTATAGCCTGTTTTTGAGTATCAGGTTTTATCAGAACACCACCCCCACCATTCTTCTGGTCTATGGATGCTGTCACACTAAGACGGCAGAGGTGAACTGCCCCACCAGAAACCATACTTTACTATGGGCATTTTTCTAGAAAGAGAGATTACTGCTTTCATTAGCTTCACAAAGGAGACCCAAGCGAGATTTAGAGTTGTTTAGATTAGCAAAAATAGGCTAATGATGAATATTCATTTTTCCAATGCATACTCTGATTGTATGACTGGCAAAAACCTATAATTCATTCTAATTTTTCCACTGGTTGCTCTGGTGACACCACAGGTTAGGGATACACCGTATGTCGGCTCCCCTGGGGCCACTTCAGCAGTGCTTACAGCATCAACATGCTGCTCTTTGACTTAATTCTCTTTCCTTAATTCCACACTACCAGAATTGGAGAAGAATTCTGTCCCAT